CCAGCATCTGCAGTTCCTACTATCTCTGGTTTTAGTGTTGGAACAGGTTTGGGGTATGGATTCATCTGGGGTCAAATAGGCCATACCAGAATGCAAATGTAGTTAGTGGCCAGTATCAAAAATTATGGTGGGGACTGGGAACAAGCCACAGTCTTCCCAGTGTTGCACTGGAGGACAGTGAGCACCAGATCTGCAGAACTGTTAAAGTATCTCAATTAGGCATGTTAATCTTCTGTATTCAACAGGTTATCAGCCTATTGTTATTAACAAGCCTGTGTTGCACAGATAACGTATGATGCCCAGTACTGAATGCAGTGGCTCACTTAGGGTTTAAGGAAAGTTCTGTACAGCTGTAACATATTACATATAGAGGTGAACATTCTCTGTAATCAAAGGTGCAGTTGTAATGTCTCTACCGCTGAGTCAGGAGGCTTGGGACCAAGTTCCCACCTCTTCCAGAAGTGTGCACTAACAACTCTGAACAGGCTGAATAGAAAACACTCTTTAATTCATCAGTGAACATTCCTACTGCCGAACGTTTGGAGAGGAATTAAGTGAAATAACCGGTAAAGATGTTTACTTTTTGGGACACTTCCCTGAAGAACTGCTGTAGGGATATCCTGAGACTGAGATGTAACAGGCAATTAAACAAAAACCCATAAGAATAAAACCGGGATTGATTATTTCACTGGTGACCAGTCTTTATAAACCTTAACAGCAAAGCGCAACTTTAAGGAATGAACTAGTTATATAACAGATAGTGCCTGATGGTGCAGATCCACCAAGATATTTTTGTAGAGTTTAACTCCTGAACTCACAGCTGGGTAATGGAGCTCCTTCGCCTGGACTTGTACTGTCATGATCTGTGACCACCAAACATCAAGGACCTTGTTTCCTGGACAAAAAGGGATCTTTCTTGCTTCATGTGGCCTTTCAGTCTCTGGAGGAGAGGTTGACTAGATAGTCCAGCAGCTGTTCATCCATTCCATTACCACTTCCTAACTCCTGAGCCACCAGTGCTGCCTCCACTCCATTCCTGGTTCCCTCGTCACCACCAAAGGATTCCGGCTACACTTTTTCCCATTTATGGGACATAATTGGCTACAGCAGCATTTATTGTCCATCCCTAGTTGCCCTTGAGAAGGTGGTGGTGAGCTGCTGCCTTGAACCACTGCAGTCCATGTGCTGTTGGTAGACCAAATGTCTTGGGGAGGGAATTCCAGGATTTTGACCCAGCGACGGTGAAGGAATGGCAATATATTTCCAAGTCAGGATGGTGAGTGGCTTGGAGGGGAATTTGCAGGTGGTGGTGTTCCCATGTATCTATTGCCCATGTCCTCCTCTAGATATACTGGTTGTGCGTTTGGAAGGTGCTGTCAAAAGAGCCATGGTGAATTGCTGCAGGTGGTATGGAGTGTTGGCAGTAGTGGGGGAGGGTGTTACTGTAATCTGGGTTCATTTACTCTGTTCATAAGTTCTGGACTTCATTTCCTGCATTGTTCCTTTTCTCGGCCACTGGTTCTGTCCCCTCCTCTTGCCAAAAAATTTTGGTTTCTGGAGGAAGAGAAACTCCCGTAGAGCTCTCAGTTGCTTAATGCTGTCTCTGCACTATCACTGCCTCCTGTTGTAGACCCCGTGTCAATAGAAACAGTAAATTCGTCAGCCACAGCAAATGGGGAGTCTCTGCTTCTGCCTACTGATGTAGGTTTTCTCATACTGTTGTCCCCTGGTGGTTGGGTGATCCATTGGTGTTCTGTGATTATTATTCACTTTGGAGTGTGTAATTAGGTTAAAAAAGAGAATTGGGACCAAAGTGATTTGAATCAAGCCAATACTTTTAAATGACATCTTGATGACATTCATTGGAGCTCACAGATAATGAAGGAATGATTTGATGTACAGTAAGTTATAAATATAGTAATTAAATGTATTATATTGTGTATTTTTAAATGGCAAGCTGTCACACCCAAAGTCAGCAACAAAAACAAAGTTGCTGGAAAAGCTCAGCAGGTCTGGCAGCATCTGTGGAGGAGAAAACAGAGTTAACGTTTCGGGTCCGGTGACCCTTCCTCAGAACCCAAAGTCACCTTTTTCTTGTGCTTTGGTAGTGTTGCTGGAATGTTGGGAGGAGTTAGCTGTTGGGACTCTGAATTGTTGATATGCATCAGGAGATTATCTCAGTCCTAGTGAGTCCGGAGAGCTACACTGGTCAGGGAATTAAACCCTTTCTGCTAATGTTTATGTCCCTAACATGTTATGTGCTAAATTTGGAAGACCACATTCTCCAGTGCCTCCTCGTTAAATATTTATTCAATCCCTTCGGGAAGTTGCTACAAACTGAATCTGCTTCCACTGCACTTTTATGCAGTATGCTCCAGATTATATCAAAGCATTGGATTTATGAAATTCTCCTTATCTTTTACACTGGGTTTTTGACAAATGATCATTAGTACTCTAGTTTTCAATCCTCTCACTAGTAGAAAGAGTTTTGGCCCACCAACTCTCCTAGGTTTTATGGTTACTCTCTTCAATGCAAAATCATTAGTGTCTTCCATTTCAGAGCACCTGCCATCAGCACAAATAGTTCAACTTTCACCAAACTCAGTTTGTAAAAGTTATGGCTAATGCAGCCAAGCAGGCTGCCAGGTTTGAGTGCATTCTGCTGTGCCAGTCTCATTGCAGAATCGGGCTGCTTTTGCACCCTCATTTCACTGACCTGCGTGCCATGGTGCCTCACTGGTTAGTGCTGGTGCCTCACAGGGCTAGGGATCCAGCTTTGAGCCCATCCTTGGGCAATTATCTGTGTGGAGGTTGCTTGTTCTCCCTGTGTCTGCATGGGTTTCCACCAGGTGCCTTGGTTTCCTCCCACAGGCCAAAGATGTGTACGTTAGATAGATTAGCCATGCTAAATTGCCCCCTAGTATCCAGGGAGGTGCAGATTAGGTGAGCTAGCTATGGTTTAAAAACACGATGTGGGGTTACATGGGATAAGGTGGGTGGAATAATCTTTGGTGGCTTGGTGTGGTCTTGATGGGTTGAATGGTCCCTTTCTGCTCTGTAGGAATTGTCTGATCTTGGTGCTGAGTAAAA